TGAAGGCATCTTCTCTCTCTTTGATTTAAAATTTGAAAACAGCACGACTAAATAAAAAGTTAAAATCGTAAAAAAAATGAAAGATCTTGGGCTTAATCTGGGGGAAGTAAAGTAACTCCTGCTCACTCCTGTTGGTGTTTGGTGCGCGGTAATTGGAGAAGGGCTTGGAGGCTTCCTCCAGTGACCTCATTACCCCAATTAAATTTGTAGCCATCTCTGAAAACAGTCTCGTGAAGCGATATCTGGTTATCACTGCCGGTTCAGATAAGGCGGAGAGAGCGGGAGGAAGCCAGACATATGGCTGCAACCTGTTACAATATGCTGCAGTGGGTTCTTAAACCGAGTTTCATTGAACCGGAATCTGTGCTTGTTTAAATGGCATTTGAAATAACCATGAAAAAAGATGTTTGGATGTCTTGAATAGCACTCTGTTATCACATCAGGAGGCTCTCGTTATCAAGACGCTTTAAAGAGAGTAGAATCACAACAGCATCGTTGGGTGAAAAAGGAATGCTCGTTCCTGTAACCACAAAGCGTCCCGTCCCTCTAGACAGTCCCACAGCACATGTAAATAGGTCAAATATGTCGGCATTATTGGAATCTATTTGTTGTAGGCCTTGATTTTAAACGCAGCAACAACAGCAACACTTTTGTTCAGAACAGCGAGTTGTGATCAAAGATGACCTCATTCCTGCAGATGTTTTTGAAAAGCCCAGCCTGTGCTGTTCGTCTTTCCGTGTGAGTCATTAAATAAGACACTCTTTAAGATCGTTTTCTCATCTCATCGCTCCTTCACTCCACCGAGAACGCCATCACACATTTGCATAACGACCGACTGCAGTTTGTCCCTTTTTTTTTTTTAAGACGTCTTTCTGTCTTTCTTTCTTTCAGATCCGACTCTGCGTTTTTTAGTACAATGTTGTTGCTGTTTTTTTCCCCCTCCTGGTTTAATTCAAGTCGGAGATGTGAGGATGTTTTTTAAACCGCAACTTTGTAAAGAGTTTCATTCGTAAATGATACATCTGCACACATTTCAGACAAAGTTTAACGCGGAATTAAAGGTTCTCATCTTTCACAACAGCGTTTCAGGAGGTTTCGTTTGAGCACAAGTTTCACAAACTGAGCTTCACCTTCATGTTGTTGATCGTTTCAGGAGAACAACTGACATGTTTTCAACACGGTATGTCATTAGGGTTTTTAATTGGAACACATTACAACTCGACTTCATTGTTTAGGGTGGAGATTCAGTGTGAAACTGGCAGCTTTGAACATGCTAGAAAACAGCTGATTTGGTGAGCTCAATATATGGTGAGCTGGGATATTTGTCCAAGAAGGCTGACTGGTTTTGCAGGAAAGCATAACAGGACAGAAGAGCATAACTGATAAACACAGAATTGACTTGAAAGAAGTTACAACTATGGTCCGACAGATACAGAGTTTTTGGGGCTGATACCGATATACTGGCCGATATCTTTCTTAGGTATATCTCCAATCTGTAGATATAGATATATGCACATTTATTGCGTTGATCCCTTGAATGCAGTTATCGAACACAACTGGAAAGTAACTACTCATGTACGTGCATCACCACTTGACAATCTGGAGAGATAATGCTTGTTGTAATCCATATAGCGTCCTCCGCTGGTGACAGCCAGAAAGAGAAATGCTAGTGGAATACAACGATACTCAAATAAAATTTGCCTGGGTGAATAAATCTACAAATATCTGCGCATATCTACGCTAAAAATTAGCTGATACCAATTGTTACTCGATATGCTAATATCGGCTGATATTATCGGCTGGCCGATTTATCGGTCGGGCTCCAGTTACAACATTTTACATCACAGCACAAAAAAGTATTTTTAAATGGAGATAAATCTTTTTATGTTTTTTTTTTTCTAACCTTTACGACTCTTTCAGGCCCCGATAAACCAACAGACCAATCAAAAACTGCAGCAAACAATCGGCCATCGACAGCCAGTCATCCCCAAAGTTACACACTAACCGATTGATCGAGTTGAGGCCATTTGCGGGCGACAACCTCGGATAGAAGGAGGGAATCAATGCCTGTTTGTCCACTTCTCTGCTCATTAAGGAACCTCTATTCACATCAGGGTCAGCCTACGACAAAGAAAGCTCACAAGTGCACATTTTCAGTCCGAGGCGGCTGGTTTTTCCTCCTCCTCAAAGCCCTCCCCTCATCGAAATTCTTCTCACAGAAACGTTGTGCCAGAGGCCAAAGTCTTGACAGGGTGGCCCAGTGAGAAGGGAATTCAAATGGGTCCTTTTTATTATTACGGCCAGGGTGGCCCGCTTACCTGCCCGTCCTTAATCTGCTTCACACCTTTAAGTTTTAAGAAAGACAGGAAGCAGCCTGACTGTCCATGCATCACCTTTAGGCTCAGTATATACTCCTTGACCCCACCACTTAGCCCTACCCGTATGTTTTACACATTCACGTCTAGAGGCGGCCCTTATTCTCCTGGATTGGAGGGCTAGGTTGAGGTGTTTAGGGCTAAGTGGCCCTTTGAACGGAGAGTCTTCACAGGCACACTCCAAACTAAGTGTCATGAGAAATCTCCCAGAATGCTTTTCTGTTAACATTGTCGCATCTGTTTACGTAAATACCATCAACGAGTACTCACACATTTCAGCGTCTTGAAGGGCGACTCAGCGCTCTCATCAGTGTCTGCTGGTATTTCCCTCTACGGCCCAGCTTGGATTGATGATGGCTTGTGATTGACTGGATGGATGTGACAGCTCTGCTCAGGCTCTGACCTGCCACTTATTTGGGGATCAGGGAGGGAAACTTTGTTCTGAGGGGAAAAACGGCACTAGAAAACAAGTTGAAGGAGTAAAGATTAGAGTAAATGTCACTGAGCTATGGGTGGGCGGTAAAACCAGTATAAACACCGGCACTGGCATTATGTTCTGCAACGATATGGATCTTTTTCAATACCCTCAATATTGATTTAAACACAAGGGTCTGGTTGTAGTGAACACAGGTTTGAAACATTGATTGCTCAACCTACCCGTCACATCGGAGGCTAACTAAAAGTAGCATTAAATAGTGATTTGTGACAGATAATGGCTCAGATTGAGTGTCCTGGTCCTCTGAATGTTTGGCTCTGGCACTTAGATTCTCAGTGATCAGAGGGCACCGAAGTGCTTCTCTCTTTCCATCTGTCTGGAGCTCTGACATAGGCTATGTGCTGGAATGGATTTTCAACATTTCCACCTGCTTAATGTTGTGTTTCAACTCGTGTCTCGCTTGTCGTAAGTCCAAGATGATGAAAGGAAACGGGCTGGGGCTCTGACTCTTGGTGAAAGGAGCGGCACCGCTCCTCTACTGAGTGTTACTGAATCAACAGGTTTCTTCTGCCTGTTGAATGCGAGTCCTCGGTTATTCAGGAGTATTGGTAATACCTCAACTGTGTAGATTGATTCCTTTCAGAGTTTTTCAGTCGTGTTAGTCACTCGTCACAGTGTGTCGTTAGCTCTGAGCAGGGAAAAAGATGGTGATGTTGATGCAATTGAATGAATACTGTCGTTAAATAAGGATAAACTGCACAGTGGTGTAAAGGCTTCCTTCTCTGAACTACTAACTCAGATTTTTCAATACAGACTTCTATTTCAGTGAAGGGTCCGACCGATTTAGGATTTTTGGGGCCGATATCAATATCTGATACCGATTTCTTTCTAAGATCTATGTTTGATCTGTAGAGCTACACAGATATACGCATGTATTGCATTGATCCCGCAAATGCAGTTACCTAACATTTGTGGAGAAAATATATAACGAAGACGAAGATGGACGCTCAACTGGAAAGAATCTGCGCATGTACGTGCATCACCGCTCGACTCTCTGGAGAGTGGTGATGCTTGTTGTGATCCATATAGCGCCCTCTGCTGGTGAAAGAGAACTGCAAGAGTAAATCACAAATACTCAAATTAAGTTATATTTGGTGAATGAATCGAGTAGTATTGGCACATATCTGCGATAAAATTAGCTGATACTGATAGTCACTGGATAAGATAATATTGGCTGATATTATCGGCTGGCCGATTAATCGGTCTAAACTGCACGAAACTTCATCCCACAGTTCAAAGACGCGCTGTTAGATGACTCTGTGATTGACAGGTGAACAGTCCTGGGTGTACCCCGCCTCTAGCTGTAGCTGGGATCAGTCGAATCCCAACAACAGTCATTTATTTGAGTTCATCATACCAGGATTATGACTCATTGAGATATGAATCCCATGATTAGGAAAGATTAAAGTTTATTTTTTATTTCTATTTTTTTTTCATTCAAATTTAGTTAATTGGCACTTGCTTTTTCACAGTTTACATTTCAGACCTTTTCTGTTCTTTCCATTGGGCGGCAGTGCGTCTATCCTCCAACTTGAGCTGCAATGCATGCCATGGCTGCCTGCCCGTGCACTCTCCTCAGGTCGATCCTTAGTGTGAGGCGAGGAAAAAGTAACTCCCACATTATGAATTCATTCTCCTAACATGACATGAGCTGGATCGTTTTCCGCATGTGTGTTTGCTGGGAAGCTTTTAGTCGCTGCGCCATGTAGAGGATGAAGACTCCAGAGGAACGCAGGTCTGACGAGCGTTCACACGGTTCCACAGTGAAGGCAGACAAACTGAGGGAACAGCACCTGTAATTTGGCTTTCAGAATAAAAGCTTTACGGGAATATATGTGGACAGAACAGCCTTGAATATCAACTTGTTAAAAAAAAAAAAGATGAATCAATCACGTGAGAGAAACACTGCTATACCAGGCGACGAGACAAATGCAATGCCAGTGTTTGTGAGAGAATCACGTAATGAAGGGCTGCAAATAAATACACAACATTGTAGTGCTTTTATTTTTGATGGCACATCCCCCTTGCGCGCTTTGCTTTTTTGCTCCATTTTTGCACACTTGACTCATCTCGCGTTGACTCAGCGGCGCTCAGAGAGAGAGAGAGAGAGAGGGGGGGAGAGAAAGAGGGCGAGAGAGAGAGAAAGAGAGAGAGACGGCGTCCGATGTGTCTTTTTTTTCTGCACATCACTTTGGATATTTGCGCTTGTGCAGTCCTGCTGAACGCGGTGCTCACCTGCCGGGGGCCGCATGGCTGTGGAGCGACCGAGCAGCTGATTTAATAGGATAATCCGAGTAATTGCCTCCTCTTATATAGCCCTCCATTGATTCTGTCGACCATTCTCCTAATCACTGTCATGATTTTCCTCATTTCCCTCTCTCCTGCTGTTTCAAAGTGACCGGCTGCAGGTGTTCATTCGGCTCCGTTCTGCGCCAGTCAACGCTGGCAATATGTAATTTCTGGGATTAGACACTGCGTTTTGTTTTTGGGAGAAGTGGACTACTATCTCGCAGCTTGGAATTCTTTGCTTTTTGAAAACGTTTCTGTTCAACTCTGCAGACCAGAATCGATTCTGAAAAAATCCGTGATGGTGTGGGGCTATCAGAACTGACGGCAGAGTGAACGCTATCATTTGGAAACTGTTTGTGGGTAAGTTACATCCCCCACACCCCAAACCTGAAACGCCTCCAAAGTTGGTCCGATGCTCGTCCTGCAATCTGTCCATGTGTAAAAGCAGTTTAATGGTACCAGAGATTATTTTGGATTACGCTTGTCGTTTCATATGCACACATTTGCATTGCTTGAACGACCGGGATTCGTGATCTCCTAATACGCGGCACTCAAATGCGCATTTGGAGCGAGCATGTTTTTTTTTCTTCCCTCCTCTTTGCGCATGGATTGCAGTCGCTCACTTTGCTTTAGTTGCGGCCGGAGCCTGCTCTGTGGAAGTGCTCACGGCTGCAGTACGACAGAGAAGCGGAATGCTGAAGTCTTCTGGATTCTTCTAATAAAAGCTAATCATCCAAGCAGAGTGGTTACAGCCTGCCAGTGGACACGAACTGTTGATTTTACGCGTTGTTCCCCCCCCTCCCTCTCTCTCTCTCTCTCTCTCTCTCTCTCTCTCTCTCTCCCTCTCTCGACGTTAATTGTGTAACACTGTGCGCATTTGCGTGTCGCTCCAGTGCGTCAGCAATATGTGTATTTGGATGTGTGTGCGCGACTGTGGAAGTGCGATTGCTTGCGTCTGTTGGTTGTTTTATGGGTTGCTCGTGTGTGTGTGTGTGTGTTGGCGAGGGATGGCGAGAGGAGCCCGGGCTTAGTTATTTGAAATAATTTCTGCTGAGTGATTGCTTGGCGACTCAGCTCTCTCTGCGCCTCTCCTCAGTATATCCGCTGTGATTTCCCCCTCGTGCCCTGCGTGGATGGATGATGGACTATGATTGGCTGGATGGATGTCACGGCTCTGACCTGCCACTTAAAACATATTTGGGGATCAGGGAGTGAAACTGATAAGAGGCTGGAGCAGATGCTGCCTGAAAGAGGAGGGGTTACCTCCTTGTCCCTCTTCATTCACTATAGATGAGTTACTCAAGGTGCTGCTGCTGGTGTTTCCAGTTTCAACTCACCATTTCATCAAGGAACAACTGCAAGACTGACGCTCTTCCTCTGATACCTTCAGTCAACCTATAAGGGCTGCTCAATGAACCACCCCAGTTCATTGTTCTGGCTGTATTAGCATTCAAATTCACACATTTTAAAAACTCAGAATACATCACAATAGATAGAATAAAACGATTTATTTGAACAAGTCAACAATTTCTCAATCAGCATGTGTACTTTTTTATCCATCGAGAGGTTTGGTTGTGACAGCCATATTTTCCCCATTTTGGATCAAGGTGAAGATGAAGCTAAAGCCAGCTAATTAGTCAATTGGTGCCAAGGTAATGGTGAGAACACAAGTACTATTTTGCATTGAGGATATGTTGCAAACATGATGGCATGCATGCACCCTTTGATATGTATTTACCCCATCTTATATTGTGATTGCATTATTAATTAAACATTGTTGTCACACATTGCTTATTTTTCTCATATAGTGCAGCCCTTAAATGACAAAATAATATGAAATATGTCGTCCATCACATCTGATTTTCCTAATTTTGTCAACATTGACTTTGCTGCTAATTTCTACTGCTTCATAATTAGCTTGCAATGCACTCTACCTTCAGCATTGTTTTCTGTTCCCAAACAAACGTCTTGTTTAGTGACCTTCATTTTTTATACCGTCTGTATTTGTCTCCAACATCTGGGGTTAAACCTCGCTGGAGGACCAACCAGCAGCACATGAATTAATAGGTAAGTGGCAGCGGCCACTTAACGGAAGCCCTGCAGCTCCATATCGAGCCGAGTCGAGTGCTCTCACACAGAAATTGATTTAGACAGAGATTATGTCATCCGGCATTGGCACTTTTTTCATGCTGGTCAAGTTTACCCAGCAGCATTAGTTCCTCCTCTGCTCTGTGAGGAATTAAGTGTCGGTCTAAAGGGCACATTAATGCACCATGAAGCCCTTGTTTCATTTGAAGGTTTATCACTATTACAATCTTTAAATGCTTTATCACATCATATTTGAGCGGGTCTTTCTTTAAACCATTCTTGCACAATTGATTATGAAGCCTGCCCAGATATTTATGCAATAATTGCAACTCAGCACAGTCTATTGGGGGGTGATTACACCGTTCAGACGTGTCATTAAGTGTAATTTACTCCCAGGAAGAGATCAAACTTGGAATTGTGTCCATGAAAAATGTCATTTCAGGAGCAGCATTTCCCTCGTCTTGCTCTAAAACACACCATGACGAGCATTTGCGAAAAGCACTTGACCCTGTTATGCTACGATTCTCCTTTCTGTTAGAAAATGAGGGACCTGAACACATCACAAGCGTCTGCCCTCCCCTCTCTTGATTGATACTTTTAATTTTCCAGGAGCTGTCACTGAGGCCTATTGGCCTTGGCTTTGCAATCAAGGGGCGGGCAGTCAAAGGCTTTCAAATGAAAGAGTCCATTAATGCGGTGGGAAATACGGATTGTCTGGCTGTGGGAGTATTGGCTCTTTGTGAGGAGTGATTGGAGCAATTGATGAGGATTTGTGGGGAAGTCGAGACTGGGCCACCTCAATCTCGGCTCTCAGATTACATTAATAAGCCTCGAGGGATAATGGAAATCTTGACAGATGATCCAGTTTCCTTGTTTATGCATGTGATACCATGTGTGCGAGTACCTGAGCTCAAGCATCTTCCATTCACGTGCTGCATGCCAGGCAGACGTATCGACTGTCCTGAGATCTGAGCGATAGAAGCCGTGGACTACATGCATAACACACATGCTCTCAGTTAAATCTTTTTTTTTGAAAATCCAATTCCCGTGAAGATGAGATCCCTCTTTCCCCGAGCCTTGTTCCATTTTCCATCGCAATCATTGGGCATCGATCGGATTCAAAGCTATTTATTTTTGTTGCAGCCATCATGTCATGAATTGACAAGTATGGTAGATCAGCTAGATTACAATACGTGTGGCCATGTCGCCTCTCTCATAAAGAAGACTCATGGCGACCTCGGGTGAAAGCCTGGTTTTCAACTAATCTAAGCACCCTGAGGTTTTACTTCAGGTACAACGTTTTACATTTGTGGTTGAATCTTCACCAAGATTAAAGTAGGTCAGCGTACTTGAAAGCCGGGTTTTGTGGCCTTTAAGGATTGGGAAAACTTTTTTAAAAAAAAAGCCACTTGTGACTCCCCCATTAGGGCCTGAAGAAGTCTGCAACAAATACTCTCGTTGTTTATCCTCAGTGGAAAACGTTTGAATAGAAACCCATTTTGTGTAGCAGTGACAACTCTATAATGTTTGTGGTATATCTTTGGAGACCCCCTTAGGTTTTTCCTGTACCCTCTAATAGGCTACCAACCCTGTAACTGGCCAACTGATTATGTAATTCATTAAATTAGGTGTATAATTTTCAACAAGTATGCCAGAAATGCACTATAATATCATTCATTATCATATGACCCAGATTTGTGTACACACCATGGAATTGGGCGTCCGCATAAAACTTGAGTGTCTCTTGGTATGCTACACCATTGTGGCTTGTTTTATAACTCAATGAGCTGGACTAACCCATTTATTTATTTATTTTAGGGATTAGCCAAAAGACATTATTGGATAACATCCAGAAAAGCAGTAATATAACTGTACTACACATACTAATGGAAGCCTTTTACTCATCGGCCCAATCGTGGAGTCCACACTCACAACTTCTGGTTGTTAAATTGTCAAGGTCATTAGCTCTCTTTGGGCCCTTTCAACACATGTCTTAAAACTGCATTACTACAGACCTTGCCTTTGGGAATAACCCATGGTTCATACTGTTTTGATGTAAAACAGAGTACATATTGATGAGTGGGTGCTCTTTCAACTAAATCAAAGGTGATTTTTTCAGCACCTTTCGAACATTTTATTGGGCGCAAGATGTTCAAATGAGTCGGTGATTGTATGCAACATTTTGAAGGTCTCGTGAGTTATTTTGGTCGTATCGTGATAAGCTGACTCCATGTATTTGGCATTCAAAATGCGACATCAGTCATATCAGAAAAATCTTAAATCCATATTCTGATAGTAGATAAGATATGCTCCAGATAGGACATTTTACTATCAGTGGTGGATACTCCTTGTGTATCCACCAAGGATTTCATCATATATTAGTCAAAGTTTGAAATATCCGGGAAAAACCATCTCCGGATTCTAGGGTGTTTTCCGCAGTGTATGGTGTTGGTCTTGTCTCGGTCTTGTCCTACATTTGGTCTTGTCTCGGCGCACTCTGGTCTCGGGTATGGCTTGGTCTTGTTTTGCGTTGTCTTGACTATTGCAGCCTCTCATGCTCACGCCTGGATCAGGGGCCATCACTTAGTCCGTGACAGCTCAGGGGGTCATTGCCACACTGCCAATACTTTACCGATTGGTTACCATGTTGTAAGGGGAAAACCAAATGGACTTTGAATTTAGCCTCATTCTCTTTGTGGTCCTTCAGCTCTCTGTGCCACCTTTCCAGTTCTTCTTTAGTTGAGAGGAACTTCTCTTTTTACAACTAGATATGATTGCCTTCATGTATGGATATGAACTGAGCTCAGAGTCTGCTGCTGCTGCTGCTGCTTCACTTGCTTTATTTACTCTCTGCATGTTGTGACTTTGCTGTCCTCACAGAACAGCGCTTAATACCACAAGAAAGGGACGTTAATGGCATCATTTCCAACTGTCTCTTTACATTGCACTTGAAAGAAAACATGCAAGTCATTCCGTGTTTGCTTCTGTGCGTCTGCAGGGACATCAAAAAGCATAAAGTGGAGTGGAGTAAAATGCTATTTTAAGGCGCTTTATTTACCCATTTGTTACAGCAGAGAATAAAAAGGCAGGGGGGTCAGCTGCAGTGTAGCATGCCCTGGAGCTAAAGAGTTGTGCTGGTCAATTGTACCAGGGCTAAAATGAAGAAAGAGGCGATGAAATACTCGTGTTGAACTCTCTCTGATGAAACGGCTATCCGAGGTGTGATCAATTACCTCAATACAGTGTTTTTCTTTGCCGGGGGCAAGTAAGTT